AAAATAAGCTGACAAGTTTACCCTTATAATAGAGCTACGTAGAATTCGATCTGAATTATTCAAATAATTGATTAAATATAAATAATTTATTAAACAAAAAGAATCCCACGCTAATGTGATATATGTAATTTTAAACTATTACAGGTTGTATTTATATTTTAATAAAATAGTTATTATGATATATACATTTTTAAAATATATAATATGATATGTATATTTATTTTCGAATTTATTTGAATATCCAATGCTATTCTGCTCAATTTCAAGGAAAGGAGCTTGATCACCTAACTCCAAGGTTTGTGAAAAATCGGCTTGAACATGGGCTTCCAGAGTAACGAAAGTGTCCTGAAAACCCCATGGTTTAAGAGCCAGTGGCCCATGAATCCACACAATAAAACAACTGAAATAGTCATACAAATAACAACCAAGAGAAGGTTATCTAAATGGAACGTATCTCATCCACACAACAACTAGCCGATATCATACAAACACATTAGGTTCACAACAATACAATTATTTGATTTCAGGTTTGGGGCTCAAGATGTTTTTAAACCAACTTGAGGGGGAGTTTAAAAATTAGTTCATTACATTGATTAAGATTGGTAAAAAGTAAAAAGATAGTTGGTAAAAGACAGTTAACAAGTGGATAGAAGATAGACCATCAAAACTTATATAAATAACGAAGATTATAACTTAATGTCAATAAAATATTTAATTTCTTTTAAACTTTCTCTTAATTTCTAATAAATCAACATCCTACAACCTCAGGACACAGGCCAACCCTTAATTTATAAGAGCAAAAGCCATGGCTGCCAATCCTTCTGCTATACCTAATAGCACCATAACCGTATGGTGATCTGTTTATTTATTTTTCTTTCTTTCTTTCTTTTTTTCCTATCTGTTACCAATGTGTGTTCTCTTCTTTTTCCTTTTTTCAAACTAGATAAAATATTTGGAGCTAAGTTGATCATGACATGTTGATAGACCTTTTACAGATAAAATATTTAGTTGAGAAGGTAATAGCTTGCAGTATATAGAAAATTTCATTTTCAAGGAGTTTTCAGCTAAGTTTGGTCTCTACTAGTTGACTTGCTTTAGCTCAATTTCTTTGAATAGAGCATCCATAATGTGAACAATGAAAAAGCCATGAGTTCGTTTACTAGGTCCATCAATCTTGAATTTTTTTTCTTACTTTTATTGGAGATTAATTAATTCAGTTGATTCATACAATCTATCTTAAAAGATATGGAGTATTGTGTATTTTAATCTAATAAATAAAATATTTGCATGCTAAAAATATATTATTTTCGTGCATTTAAAATAAAATAAACAAAAAAAGAAAGAAGAGTTCTAAAGAATAAATTTAACAAAATAAAGAAAAATTAAATACGTGTCCAAAAACTTGGAAAAGTGTGGCATCTCATTTAAAAGGTAGTAGGGACAAATATTTGTTTAAATTAAGTCACAACGTGGAATAATTTTTACACTATTAAAATCGTATTAAATAATTAATCATGATGTTGACCTTTGCTTAATCAAATAATGCAATTCTTTTAATTATTTATTTTAATAAAAATGAACACTCTTTTGATTCCCATGGACTCATTGTAATCTACAGGGCTGCTCTAATTTTTTTTTCGGTAATTAATTGTTAATTAATTGAGAATATTTAGAATAAACTCTAGTTAATAATCACCCTAACTTAATAAAAAAATTGTAATATTTTTTTTATATCTATTAATTTATAAATATTATTTCAGAGTAACAAATATTTGAAATTAGAGAGTATTAATCGAACTTTTATCATAATAATTAATAAATAAGATAGTTCTAAAGAAATAATTTTTTATCATTAAATAATTAATCTATTAATAAAATAAATTTATTATGATCTGAATAATGAGTCAAATGAATTATTTTTATCTTATCCCGTTCAATCATATAACACATAAATAGTATTTTTTTTATTAAAGTATATATATATTTTTGAATGAACACATAAATAGTATATAAATGACCCTTATGGAATTACAAAATTCCTTAAATGTTAAATGTTCTCTCTTGTCAAGTTACAGTCTAACGAATAAGTTTTTATATTTATTTTTATAGAGATTTGTTGGATAATTTTTTATTTTAATTTATCAAAATTTGATCTTATATTTTATAAAGATAAAAAATTAGACCAAATATCAGTAAAAAAAATCTAAATTTTCTTTGAATTGTTTATTTTTAATAGTAATTCTTTAATGAAAATTTAATGATGTCAACTGATTAATTGAATTTTTAAAATATAAAAATAAAATTATAAAAAATAAAAATAAAATTATTTAAAAGCATCCTCGAGAACACGCCACTTGTACGGAGTAAAAAGGAGGAACGAGTAATTTATATAGTTGGCAGTGTTGACCAGATGGTCTGAAACAAGACAACAAGAGGGGAAGCAAAATGTTGGGTCATGATTGCCTAATAAACAAGTAGCAAAGTCCTCTTCTTTTTTTGTTGCATTAGAAGGCTATGCACTTCGTTACGAGGAAACCCACGTCAATTGCTATTCCAATATCATCTTTCAAATTTTCTATCAAAATTTTATACGATTCATCAGAATAGTATTTTTATTTATAATTTTTAATTTTAGTGAATGTAAAATCACTTTTAAAAAAATACACCAATAAAACGTAATTTAAATATCCAAAATTAAAAGATTCCCGAAGACCGTAAGGGCTCCAACCCCACTGCGAATGCAATGTTCCTTGCAACCACCGACTAAGCCCACTATTGCCTTAATATCAACCCTCTTTCCTTATCCCAATGGGTCCCTTTGTCAGGCACTGAAGACCAAATAAAATAAATTATATTAGAATAGTGTGACAGGTGAATGGAAATTGCTTCCTTAATTAATAATTATTGAACTTTGACAGATTTCAAAATTTTCAGTTTAATCGGCAGTGGAAACTTATAGTAAGTTCCAAAACATGTCGTTTTATATTTTGGTTCTAAATAATTAAAATTAACTTACCATGATGAAAGATTTTTTTATCTTCTTAAATCTAATATTTTTCTCTTAATATTCTTGTATCGTGTTCTTCTCTTCCATTATTTTTTGTTTAGCCAACAACAACACTAGGTTTAATATTGGTCGTCGATTGTCGATAATTATTATTTTACTTGTTATTTTTCATATTATGTCTTTGTCTTCTTCTTTTTTTAGTTTTTTTTTCATTTTTAAATAAGAATATTTATTTTTGTGACTCGTTTTTCTCTGTTTTTGTGATACGTTTTTTCACTGTTCTTGTGACACATTCCTTGTGGGTTTCGATAAGTTTTTCACATACTTCGACGGCCGTGTTGGTACTTCCACAAAGATCCTCACAACATTTATTTTCTGATTAGTTTGTCGGTGGTTAAGCATTGTCAAATCTATTCTTTTGTAAATGATTGTTTGCCGATATAATCAAAATTATGTAGCGAAAAAAAAATTAGTTGACCCTATTCACATATGTAATGGGGTAAGGGGGAGGTAGGATAGTAGGCTGCCCCCAACACCAGGTTGAGAGCAACTTCCGTGGAAGACCTCCGTTATGAATTGCCCTCAGAGTGACCCGATCCCACGACCACAAGGTTAAGAGCCTTGTGCTCTACCAACTGAGCGAAACAATCTACCAAATTGTTTGGTTCGCTCACCACTCTTTTTATCACATTGTAAAGCGTCTTGTTAGACAAAGATAAAGAATTTTATGAAAGTTATTGGATTGTTCTGATGTTTGAAAGGTTTCAGTCCCTTCGTATCTTTGGATTTAAATTTTTTATCTTATGTAGTTTTTTGTGACTATTGTCTCTAATTTTCTCTTTAGATGAGTTGAAATTTTGATTTCTCCAATTTTATTAATAAAAATCAACTGTCATTGTTAAAAATAAAAATTAACCACGATGAACCCAACTAAAATGAGCAAAAATACCTAATTGATTTCATGAAGATATATCTTAAAACAGACCCATAATCTATATTATTTATTATCTTTTTTAAAATGAAATCGTGAACTTAAAACCCATCTTCTTATATAATTAGTTTTCATCAAACGTCGATTAAAAACATTTTCAACGGTTATAATATATATTTTAGAACAAATTATGCATTTTGTCATTTAAATATTGTTTTTTAAATCATATTTTAATTTTTATCATTAAAAATTTAACAGTAATAATGATATGTCAATATAAAATAATGTTATTATTTTTGAAAAAAAAATAAAAAAAATATCACATCAATAATTCAATTAATTTTTTGAAAATGATTAATCAAAATGAAACTAAAATATAATTTTTAAAAAAAGGTATAGCTAAAATATATAATTTTTTAGGATGGCGTACGTTAAGCCTTCTCTCTCGATGCATGTTAGCAAGACTAACAACGATTGAAGACGAGTCATCCTTCTTTCTTGATTTCTTGATTAGATTGAATCTCTCTTGATTCTGCTTGCGATTTTGGGGTTTTTGATGGTGGTGTCTACTGGATCTACAACTAATTGGAGGAAATTGTTCACAGTGGGTAATGAACAAGAATTAGATTTTTTCCCCCAATGGAGATTGAGGGCTCGTTTATTGTGAAGCCACCGAAGCACATATTTGAGGAGGGAATTTTAGAATGGAGATACGCCTTAGTTGGGCAATTTATAGGCTCAACTCCCAATTTTGGACTGTTACAGAAGACAATTGACTTGATGTGGAACAAGGCTGCTCTGGTGAAGGTGAGCATGGCAGGATCCAATCTTTTTGTTTTTTCTTTTACTGGTTCGTACGCCAGGGACTGGGTTTTAGAGAATGGTCTCTGGCATGTTCAGCACAAACCTCTCTTCCTCAAGAAGTGAGAGCCGAATTTGAAGGAGCTTCACTTCGAATTGGTTCGCATGCCAATATGGTTTCAGCTCTTCAATGTCCCCCTAGAGCTATTCTCGAAGAGTGGGCTCAGCTACATTACAAGTGCAATCGGTAAGCCTTTACACATGGACTCTATCACAGCTTCTAGGGAGAGATTGGAGTTTGCTAGGGTTTGTATAGAAATTACTGTAAATTCTAAGATTCCAGATTACATAGATGTATTGTTTTACGATGATTCTATTGCCCGAATCAAGGTTATTGTGCCTTGGAGACCTTCATCTTGTGTGGAGTGTAAGAGGTTTGGGCACTCTGTTAAATTCTATCCTCTGGGGAAGAAGCAAGAATGGAGGGTTAAACAAACTGTACATGAGACTAAACTGGAAGATGCTGTAAATAATAGTGTAGTTAAGATTGAGGGGCAAAATTCTATAGTAGTTCCTGAAGGAAGCATTCAGGCTGGACAGATTGCTCTGTGTAATACTGAAGGTGTTGTTGATACTTGTTTAGAAAAAGCTCGAGCTGCTATAGGGGAAGGAACTAAATGTGACACTAAGTTGACCACTAAAGAGGGTCCTTCTGGAAGTAATTCCCCTATGAAGCGTGGAAGTGGTAGGCCAGGTAAAACTACTATGGGGGCTCCAAAAATAAATTTGAGGTTCTTAGCTCCATTGATCCTGAAGATTTGCAACCTGTTGAGGACTCAGGTAAGAAGCAACGAGCAACATCGTTTTGTGTGGCTAAACTGGTCCAGGATTTGAAGTCAAAGAAGAAGAAGCTGGTTGACAAAGTTATGAAGCTAGAGGATAGAGGTGGTGCCTCTTCTTCCCTAAATCCCTCATGTTAATTTGCTATTGGAATGTTCGAGGATTTAATAATCCTCGCAAGCAAGGTAAATTGATGAGATGGGTTACAAACTGCCAAATTGATATTCTCTATTTATTGGAAACTAGAGTTAAGGTGGATGGTTCTGTGGCTATTCTAAATCATAATTTTAGCGACTGGGAAGCATGTTGTAATTATAATCATGCTTCCAACGGTCGAATTTGGGTTCTTTGGCGTAGATGTATGAATTGCTCAGTTGTTTCTATTTTTACCAATGTGTTCCTGTTAGAGGTGCTTTTGAGGGCAACAATTTTATTCTTACTGATGTTTATGGCTTGAATGAGGGAAATGGTAGAAGACAGTTATGGAATCAACTTAATTCTCTGGAATGTATTGTGGGGGATCTACCATGGTTAATAGGTGGTGACTTCAACGTTATCCTGAATGCTGAGGAAAGCTCAGTTTGTGTTAGTTCCACAACTTTGGCTGACATTTCTGAATTCCGTAATTGTGTGGAAAATGTGGGGATTTTTCATCACCCTACAATGGTCCTTGTTTCACTTGGTCAAATAAACAGCCGAATGCTTATTTAGCTCGCAAGCTTGATTGTGTCCTGGTCAACCCGAGGTAGATCGATGTTTTCCCTAACTCTACTGTGGAGTTTCAGGCCCCTGGGGACTCGGATCACTGCTCTGCTTTTGTGTGGCTTCACAAGGCAGCCCCTACTGCAAGGCCAAAACCTTTCAAGTTTTTCAACTTTTGGGCCTTGCATCCAGGTTTTTTGAACATTGCGAGGGAATCCTGGTAGCAACCAATGGTTGGAAATCCAGCTCAGATCTTATTCCAGAAATTGAAAAGGTTAAAGTGCTCTATCAAGGCTTTTAATAGAGTTCATTTCAACGACATTTCGAACAAGGTGAAATAGAAGAGAGATTAACTGCTTAGCATTCAACGTACAAATCTTAACTAGGGTTTTGTTGACAGTAACATTGATAATGAACTTCAAGCTGAAAGGGAGCTCAAATATCTTGAAGAGGCTGAGTTACTTTTTTACAAACAAAAAGCAAAAGCCAATTGGATCAAGGAGTGAGATCAAGGGACTAAATTCTTCCATTCAGTAGTGCCTAGAAGAACGAAGAGCAATACAATCAGAGTTCTTTATGACCAATCTGGTTCTAGATTGGACTCTTTTGATGGTATTTTAGCTGAGGTGATTAAGTTTTTTTAGAATCAACTGGGTTTGGCAGATGGAAATGTTCAGGGCAGTAATGTTTCAACTATTAGGGATCTCCTTGATTATTCTCTCCCTATAGGTGCTGATGATGAGCTATGCAGAGATGTGTCTGATGCTAAAATTAAGGAAGCCATATGGGGGCAAGGAAATGATAAATATCATGGGCCTGATGGCTTTAACCCCTTCTTCTACAAGAAAGCTTGGTTCATCGTGGGTGTGGACTTTGTTGATGCTATCAGGTACTGCTTTGACAGATCTTTTATCCTCCCTGATTTTAATTCCACAGCTGTAGTCTTGGTCCCAAAGGTGCCAAACCCTAGTTTAGTCAAGGACTTTAGGCCTATATCATGCTGCACAATGATTTATAAGTTCATTACTAGGATTTTAGTTAGACGATTATCTACTGTGTTCCCTAGCATGGTTTTAAAGAATCAAACTGCTTTTGTTAAAGGAATGAGTATAGTGGATAATACCCTCCTTGCCTATGAGGTTGTTAGGGGCTATAGTAGAAAGAACATATCCCCTAGATGTGCCATGAAGTTGGATTTGCAAAAAGCGTTTTATTCTCTTAATTGGGATTTCTTAGTTGTTGTTCTCATTGCTCTTGGTCTTCCTGCTAAATTTATTGGCTGGATCTCTGCTTGTTTTACCAAGCCTAGCTACTCGATTGTAATAAATGGCAGTTTAGTTGGTTATTTTAGGGGGCTCGAGAAGTTAGACAAGGTGACCTTTCACCTTATCTCTTTGTGCTTGCCATGAATGTGTTATCTAGTCTCTTGAACCTGGCTGCTCTTAAGGGGATTTTCAATTATCATCCCAAGTGTAAAAGAATCGACTTAACCCATCTTTGTTTCGCGGATGATCTTCTTATCTTTTACAAACCCTTAATTGATTCCATCAGTGGTGTCACAGCTGTGCTGGAAGTTTTCTATTTTATGTCAGGGTTGAAGCTTAATGTTAGAAAAAGTAAGATCTTTGTAGCTGGGTTAACTACTGCTCAATGCAATATTATCAGTGAGACCACTGGTTTTAAATTAGACAAGCTCCTTGTTCGATACTTAGGGATTTCTTTGGTGACCAAGAAGCTCACGGAGAATGATTGCCTGAGCCTCATTGACAAAATCAGAGCAAGGTTGAACTTGTGGGAAAATAAGCATTTGAGTTTTGCTGGCATGCTACAATTAGTGCATGATGTCCTGTTTAGCCTCACTAATTACTGGTGCAGGCAGGTTATGCTTCCTCGGGGGGTGATTAAGAAAGTTGAGCAGTTATGCTCTCGGTACTTCTGGAAGGGTGCTGATTTACCTGCCAATAGAGCTAGGGTGAGCTAGAGGCAGATCTGTCTACCGAAGTCTGAAGGGGGAATTGGTGTTATTAACATACAATGATGGAACAAGGTTTGTTCTGTGAAATTGATTCGAAGCTTATTGTCAGATGAGGGCTCTTTATGGGTGGCTTGGACTCGATCCTATGTTATAAAAAAATGCATATTTTTGGCAGATGATTCCTCTTACTAATGCTAGCTGGAATTTCAAAAAGTTGTTGAAGATGAGGCATACGATTAACCATCTCTTTGTTAATCGTGATTGTGTTCTCAATACAAGGCATATATAGGAGGACTTGCGCATCATGGCTCCCAAGGTTGTTTGCCATCATTTGGTTTGGTTTTCTGGGCGCATTCCTAAGCACAACATAATCCCGTGGATGACCATTTTGGACAGGCTCCCCACTCGGGTGAGATTGATGCGAATGGGTATAGTCATAGAGAATGATAGATGTCTCTTCTGTGATTTGGTGCCTGAGACTAGAAGCCACATTTTCTTTGAATGTGATTATGCCAAAAGCCTATGGAAGGCTATTCTTTTACTCTGCGGTGTTAACCTAAGAGTAAGCCACTAGGAAGGTGAGCTTTCATGGGCTACCCACTGTTTTAAAGGCAAGTTCCTTCTTACGAGAGTGTTTAAGCTTGCGTTGACAAGCTACGTATATGCCATATGGAGAGAAAGAAATAGCAGGTTGTATGGTGGTTTGCATAGATCAACGAATGATATCCTGGAGGGCATTAAAATTGATATCCGGATTAGGCTATATGGATGGCCAATTAACAGAAGTGACTCTAGGAACAATACCCTCTGTGTTAGCTAAGGTATCTAAAAATTGTGGGTGCCTTTTTTCTATGTTCTTTGTTAGTCTTGGCTGAGGGGTAGTTGTTTGCATTCTTTTTTTATTCTTTGGAAATGCTTCGTTAGTAGGTGATGCTGTGTTGTAAAGGGTTGGTATTTTGTAGCATAATTATGCTTTCTTGGGTAATGAAATTGATTATCCAAAAAAAATATATATAGTTTTATGTATAGATTAAAAAAATAATTAAATTTAGTTTAAGTTGAATAATTAAAATACTTGATTTACTCTATATTTAAAAAATGTACACGAATTCTTTTCTCCATTACGTTCTGTACTTGAGGAATTCAGCAAGGAAACAGTCGGACACGAGTTTAGGAGAAGAGCTAAAATTGGAAGCTGGTGGGACTCCATGGAAATGGCATAATTGACTGAAATTGTAATGCAAATCTTTATTTTAATCATGTTTAGAATAGAAACAGAGGTCGAAATTACGTTGAAATAGCCAAACATGTGAGAAGGAAATGATCAGATGAATATATCTGAATTATCGATTATTTGGGCTCTAAAAAAATCCCTTAAAAAAGTTTACTTTCCTAGAAACATTATGACTAAAAATCTCAGACAGCAATCAATATATGAATTCAGTGTATAATCTTCTTGTCGTAACCGGTTTTCGTTCGCGCACGAAATTTTAAATTTGGCGGGAAAATTGATGTAAATAAATAATTTTTAAAAAAAATAATTTGGGAGTCGCCATCGGCCTTTTGGGTCAGGTAGGTCGAATACCTAAAAATTATTTTTTAAAAGAGTTTTAAGAAAACATCAATTAAAAAATGAACTGATCTGCGTTTATAACCAAAAATTCGTTCTTTTTAATAATAAAAAGGGATTCGTGGTCGGTTACGTTTAGGGAAGGATTAGCACCCCTACAACGCCCAAAATTGGTACTTTTTAATTATAAATTGTCTCTATTATTAAAAATTTTAAAAATTCAAAATATATTTAATTTATAATCATATTATTTCAAAATTATATAAAAAATATTTAAAAATATCGGAAAAGAACTTCTAGGTGCCTTAAGACAGCTCTTTTCTTTGATAAATATTAATTTAAATAAAATTAAATAATATTTTTTATATATTTTTTTTAAAATACCAGAATAGGACATCCAGTTGTATTAAGACTGTCCTTTTCTTCGATATTGAAAAAAATAAATATTTAAAATAATTTATTAAAAAAATAAATTATTATTCATTATATATATATTTATGAATACATAATAATAAAATATTTAAAAATATAAACAAGTAAAATTAAAATAAAAATACAACTAGAACAATCTATTTAAAAGCAGTAAAATAAATGAAAACATTTAAAATAAATGACTAAATTATAGTAAAAGTAAAATTAAAAACCTAATTCATAATTAATCAAAATTATAGGGATTAAACATGCTATTTCTTTATTTTTTTATTTAGTGACTAAAATAAAATTATCTAAATTTCGGATATTAGAATAAAATAAATTAAAACATAAACTAGGGATTAAAATATTATTTATTAAAATTAAGGGATTAAATCTGTTATTTACCCTAAATATATTATTTTAATACAAAGGACTAAAATAAATAAAATTAAAATTTAAAGATCAAATTAAAAGGATTATAAACTCGATTTAGTGACTAAAATGTAAAAATTACAAGTTGGAATGGCTTTGGACGGGGTTTAACTATTATTTAATTACACGAATAGTCCTTCCTGAAACGACGTCGTTCAGGAAGGCCTATATAAGGTCCAAAACGGCTGGCGGGCCAGCCTTCATTTCATTTTTTTTCTCTCTCAAGCAGAGAGAGAGCCAGAATTCTCTCTGGCCTCTCTCTATATTCCCTCGCCGGAGGGAATCTGGCAGCCGTCTGCCGCCGCGAATTCTGCCGCCGACCACCGCCTCCGGTGGTCGGAAATTCCCCAAATTCACCTAAAACGTAGATCTAAACACCCTAAGACCGAATCCGACCTTTGTTTCCCCAAAAAGACTCCTAATCGGAGTAAATCTATGAAAATACCTTCGGTATTTTTTATTTTCCGGCGATGTTTAGTGCTTCCGACGATGGTCAAGGCTTCTTTGGTAAGCTTCTCTCCTCTCTTTTTTTTTGGTTGTTGCTGTGTTGTTGTTGACTGGGATCGTTGGTAGTTTTTGTATCTCTCTCTGGTTCTGTTGTTTCCTCGTCTCTCCGTTTTTTTCTGTATTTCTCTCTGTCTTTTTTTCTTTGCTCGCAGATGGGGTGATGGCTTTATAGCCATCACCGGTGTGGCCATCGGACCGGTCCGAAGAGCGGATTTCGGTGAGTCACCGGACTCCCAGTGGTGACTCACCCCATAGCCATATCGTGAACGGCTGGCGTTGGAGCTTCTGGAGCCTTCGGTTGGGACGTGGCAGCGGTGGAGACGGCGAGAGTAGCTGCGGCGGCCGCGTGGCCCTAGGGTATCATACCCTAGGGTTTGCTGCTGGAACCATCTGGATCGTTGGATCTTGCCAGATCCAACGACAGCAAGCTGAGGCGGCTGGGAAGATGGAAACCCTAATCTGTTAGGGTTTGTGATGGGCCATTTGTAATTGGGCCGGTTGATTGGGCTTGTATATTTTTTATTATTATTTATATATGTATTTAATATATTTAATAATAATAATAATAATGATAATAATAATAATAATAATTATTATTATAATAATAATAATAATTATAATAATAATAATAATAAATCAATATGGGTAAAAAATTAGTATCTTCAGCTGCCCCTCTTTGCTCATTCTTGTGTTAACAAGAATAGGGCAAAGATGAAAAGATAATAAATTTTTTTATCTATTTGGCTTCACTTGATCATAATGGAGATGTTGAATAAATTCTTCTCTTTCTTCAGATGAGTTCTTCTTATTATGAACTTTCCACTGGGGATGATGTTGACCTTTTTCCTTCTGTGATAGAGTCATCCAAAAGGTTAAATAAGCTCTTCTCATTATGAACTTTCTCTGGAAAGGCTGATGCTAATCTATCTCCTTCTGTGATAGAATTATGCAAAAAGTTGAACAAGCTCTTCTTATTATGAACTTCTTCTTCTTCAGATGACGAGTTCTTCTCATTATGAACTCTACCTGGCAATGTTAATCCATCAAATGATGAATTTAAACAAAAGGTTGAACAAATTCTTCTCATTATGAACTTATTCTTCCTTCTTCAGATGAGTTCTTCTCATTATGAACTTTCTCTGGAAAAGCTGATCCATCAAATGATGGATTTGAGCAAAAGATTGAACAAATTCTTCTCATTATGAATTTCTTCTTCTTTCTTCAGATGACGAGTTCTTCTCATTATGAACTCTCCTTGGTGCTGCTGATCCATCAAATGATGAATTCAAGCAAAAGGGTTAAACAAGTTCTTCTTATTATGAACTTCTTCTTCCTTCTTCAGATGAGTTCTTCTCATTATGAACTCGAACTGGAAAAGTTGATCCATTGAATGATGGATTTAAATCTTTGCTAAAATCTTTGAAATTCCTGTCAGAATTCAACATGGATGAGAATGAATGAAAATGCACCTATTTTTGCAAATGCCTAAATATGATGCATGATTGTTAAGTTATTTGATTTCAGATTGGTGAACTGAATATTTCTTCAGTTGTAGAGACCCAATAAATCTTTCTTCTTCAAATCAGAGAATCTATCCTCTTTGACAAATGTAGAGGTAGATATAATGACAAAACCTCTTGAGAATAAAACTCAATAGTATAGGCTCTTGAAAAGCTTGCCTTCATGTGACATGTTGATTCTGATAACAACTCATCTGATTATGAAATGTCCTTTCAAGATGATTTCACAGATATCAATAGTTCTTTTAATACCAAGAAATCTTGAATTCTGATTCTGATGAGGAGAATAAACTGTTATACTTGACAAAAAATGGGATTCTCAGAGGCTGAAGCTTCAATAGCCATGGAGAGATGTGGTCCAGATTCATCAATTGCAGATTTGACAAATTTTATATGTGCTGCTTGAATGGCTAAGGCTGCCGACACATTTCTTCAGGTAAAAGATAGGAAGCCATTATGTAATGATCCCAGTTACAAGCAAAGGCGAAACTTGTGCTATGATTTTTGGGAAAGGAATAAGCACAAGAAGCTTGAAAAGAAACTTCTTAATGAAGACGATCATG